GGGGGGGGGGGGGGGGCAAAACCAACTGACCTGTGATATGCTAGGGGAGGAAAGGTCACCCTGGGGGTGAGGCCCCACCCTACAGTTGTCCTTTGCTAGGCATCCAGGGCTTTCCGCCCTGGTGACCTGTACCGGGCCCATCGTCCTTGCTCTGCTCATGTCTGTCTGTCACACTTCACTAGTAGAAAGCAGTGACAGGGACTTTTATTAAGTACTGGTGGAAAGGAGGTGAAGCTAGGAGATGGTCTTAATCTTGAGATCCTTGACGTTCTTAGTGACCTAGATAAAAGCACCTTCCTGCGGGGGTCAGAGTGAGAGGCATTAAGAAAAGTTCTGTTCGTAGCCAGGCCTGCATGGCTCAGCTGTTGAGCATCCATCTAGGACCCAGGAGATCGCAGTTCGATGCCTGGTCAGGGCACATGCTTGGGTTGCGGGCTCGATCCCCAGCCAGGGGATGTGCAGGAGCAGCGGTTCAGTGACTCATCATTGATGTTTCCATCTCTCCTTCTCCCTTCTCAGTGAAATCAATAAAGACATATCTAAAAAAACAAGACAAAAAGTCCTGTCTGCTCATACAGGTGCTGGTGCTGGTGAGCGGATTGACGTTAGCTTCCACAGCAGCTGTGTCTGCTGTGATCCTGGATTGGCTGTTGCAGAGCAGCAGTGAGAGGAGACCCAGAGCCAAGCACTTGCCTGGATGGGCGTCGGCGAGGCCAGCTGGCGTGCAGCAGTTTCACTGCTTACACTACTTAATTGCTGTCTGATTTCAGTCAAGTATCCAACCTCTCCCTGCTCCTTGTCTGCCTTGGTTCGCGGAACTTTCATCACAGTCTTTTCCGTACACCTCTTTGCTGTGAGCTTTTTTCCACAAACGTTTTCACCGAATAACTAATTGGCTGTAGGCAGTTTTTCAATGAAAAAGGTAAAATCAGGACAAATGAAAGGCACCTTAAAAAGGACATAATGAAACATGGAAAATGAATAACACGTGAAATATAAGATATTTATACGCATTTAAAATGCGTGCAGATTCATGCCAGTACTGCGCAAATAACTGATTTTATTTGGATTGTAACTAAGCACGTGTCTATTCCATGGGAAATCAACTATGCCCCCAAAGAAGGCCCTCGACCTCTCTCTCCTCCCAATGCACTATATTTCAAAATAAGAAACCGACTCTTGAGGCAAATCATCATCACCTGAAAGAAATGCTAACTATTTTAAGACCCCACCCCATCGACTTGTCACTGTGTAGATCAGTATGAGGACTGGGTAAGGTTTATATACAGATACGACAATGGGAGTAACAGGGAGAACTTCATGGCGTAATGAAGCCAAACAATACCAGCAAGAAACCCAAACTGCCCTTGTTGGTGTGGCTCAGCGGTTAGAGCATCGGCCCTCGGACTGATGGGTCTTGGGTTCGATTCCAGTCAAGGGCATTTACCTGGGTTGTAGGCTTGATCCCCGGGCCCCAGTTGGGGGGTGTGTGGGAGGCAACCAGTCGATGTGTCTCTCTCACATCAATGTTTCTCTCACAGCTCCCCCAAGAGCAATAGAAAAAATATCCTTGGGTGAGGATTGAAAAAACCAAAAACCCAAACTGTCGGTTATTTTATCTTTCTTACAACAAAATTGCCTTACAGCCAATTTTGTGGCAGAAATGCTTGTGACAAATATATACTGCAAAGACGCTGTGGTGAAAATGCCTGCCACAGGCCTTGTAGTTTCAAAACACTTGAAAAGACACATAGCCTGGCTGGCATGGCTCAATGGTTGAGTGTCACCCCACGCACCGGGGGGTCACTGGTTCGATTCCCAGTCAGGGCACATGCCTGGGTTTCAGGCTCCACTAGGGGGCATGCAGGAGGCAGCCGATGGATGATTCTCTTTCATCGACGTTTCTCTCCCTCTCCCTTTCTCTCTCAAAAATATATTTTAAAAAACCCAAAACATAAATTTTGTTTTCAAAAAACTGTCTAGAGCTGTACTGTCCAATATGGTAGCTGCTGACCACATGGGGCTACTGAGCTCTTGAAATGTAGCTGATAATTGAGATGTGCTGTGATGTAAAATACACATTGGATTTTGTACACTTCATAGGAAAAAAAGAATGATTATGCCCCATCAATAAGTTTTATATTGATTACAAGTTTGAATGATACATCCGATGTATTAGGTTAAATGTATACTATTGATATCACTTGTTTATTTTCACTTTAAAAGTGGCCACTAGAAAATT